GGGGGGCCCCTGGGGGGGCCCCTTGGGGGGCCCCTGGGGGCCCCTCTGGGGGGGTCCCCTAGGGGGCCCCCCCCCTAGGGGGCCCCCTAGGGGACCTCTGCAGCCACGAGGGGCCTCTTAGGAGGCCCCTTAAGCTTTCTCGGGGCCCTTTAACTGAAGCACTTTTTAAAATTGGAGATTTAGGGTTTAGGGTTTAGGGTTTCTAGGAAGCCCTTATTATAAGGGGGCCATTATATCTATGAAAGACCCTGGTGGAGGCGTACAAGATTTTTCCTGTCTAAACCCTAAACCCTAAACCCTAAGCCTTAAACCCTAAACCCTAAACCCTAAACCCTAAACACTAAACACTCTTACCTGGGCCTTCTCTGGCTGCTCTGCCGGCTCTTTGGTCTGCCGAGTCTTTCGATATTTCCTGAAAGGAAAAAAACAAATAAACGAAAACGCATGCAGCCCCACAGCCGCAAAGCCCCAAAATGCCAGCATGCATGCATGCCTGCATGCATGCATGCATGCATGGATGCATGCACGCCCGCATGCATGCATGGATGTATGCACGCCTGCATGCATGCATGCATGCATGGATGCATGCATGCCCCTCAGAAAGCCAAAAGAGAAGAAAAGTATTTTGAAGATAAAACGAAGACAGAGGAATTGACAAAAGGTAAAAAGGAAAAGAAAAAGACGGAGAAGGACAAAAAACAGGGATAAGGGGAAACAAAAGGAAACAAAATGGGACACAAGAGAATAAAAGGAGACAAAAAGAAACAAGAAACAGACAAAAAGGAAGCAAAAAAAAGCAAAAAAACTGAAAAAAAGAGACAAAGGGAACAAAGGGAGATAAGAAGAAACAAAAAGGACAAAAGCAAGAACAAAATGCGAAAAAAAGGAATAGAGAAGACAAAAAAGACAAAAAAGACAAAAATACAACAAAAAATCCAAACAAGGATAAAAAAACCAAGAGGGGGAAAATGAGAAAAGGGCGGGACTGCGGGGCGCCGGGGTGTATGTACACCTGACCTGCAGCTGGAGGGCCTCGACATGAGTTTTATAATTCATCACTTTTGACTTCTTTAATCCCGAATCCACAACAAATCGAACTCCAGGAATTGTCAAAGAAGTCTCCGCAATGTTTGTCGCCAAAATAACCTGAAAGGCACACAGTGCATGCAAAAATGCATGCAAAAATGCATGCAAAAATGCATGCAAAAATGCATGCAAGAATGCATGCAAAAATGCATGCAGGAATGCATGCAGATGTGCACACAAAAATGCATGCAACATGTGCATGCAAAATGAGGAAAAAGGGATAATAAAAATGAAAATAAACAAAAATGATGATACAGATAAAAAGGATAATGAGGGACAAAAGGAAGCAAAAACAGAAAAGGGACAAAAAGAAATAAAAAAAAGAAATAAGACAATAAAATACAACAGAGGCAAAAAAGAAGAAAATAGAATGATGAAAAATAAAAAGACGAAAAGGGTTAAAAGACAAACGAAAAAGAAAAAAAGAGACAAAAAGAGATAAAAGGGAACAAAGAGAGGCAAAGGGAAACAAAAATAAAGTAAAAAAGAAACACAAAATAGTTAAAAACGAAACAATAAAGACCAAATGAATTTAAAAATAAACACAAAACCAGAAAGACAAAAAATAAACCAAAAAGAATCACAAAATAAACCAGAAATAGTTCAAACACGCTTTTTAGGGTTTTAAAACGGGGTTTTTCACCAAAGAAAAGATGAAAACAAATTCATTTAACGAAACTAAATAAACAAACAAATAAAACCAACTCAATAAACCAAAACCACTAAAAAGAAGAGTTAAAAGCAATTAATGAAATAAATAAATCAAATGAATTAATAATTACTTTTCTTGTAAACGGCGGAGACACAGGCTTCAAAACTTCCTGCTGCTGCTCAAAAGGAAGTGCAGCGTACAGACAGCACACAAGCAGCTTGCTGCTCCTCCGGTGTACGTACACCTCAGACCCCAAACGCACATGCACCTGTGGGGCCCCGCACCCCTTGGGGGCCCCCTCTGGGGCCCCCTGGGGGGCCCCAAGGGGGTGTGGGGCCCCACACTTGTTGAGCTGCTGCAGCTTTGCATGCAGCAAAGCCCCAAGAGCTTCGATTTCTTCCTGGCCAGGCAAAAAGACTAAAATGTCTCCTTTTGAATCTTCATTTCCCAAATGGATTTGCAGCACTGTCAGCAGTGCAGCCTGCACAAACCCTAAACCCTAAACCCTAAACCCTAAACTCCAGACTGCAGACCGTGGACCCTCGGCATGAAGTGCTACCCCCCGGACCCAAAAGCCCAAACCCTAAACCCTCAAGCCCAACCCCGAAACCCTAAACCCTAAGCCCCAAACCCCAAACCGTAAACCCCAGACTCCAGTGCCTGCCCCGCTGTGTTCGCGGGAGGCGCTGCGGGAAGCCGAGGGTTTAGGGTTTAGGGTTTAGGGTTTGGCAGTGCGGGGACCTGGAGGTAGTCCTCCTGGGGCGTCTGGGCGAAGAAGGCCTTGAGCGGGAAGGCGACGTGGGGGATCGAGACGATCCCGATCCCGATCCCGATCCCGGGATCGCGCAGAAAGGCCCTGAGGGGCGTGGGGTCGAGGGTGGCGCTCATGAGGACGAGTTTGAGGGTTTTGCGCTCCCTTAAAAGGGTTTTGAAGAGCCCCAAAAGGCACTCCAAATGCACCGACCTTTCGTGCACTTCGTCCACAACAAAAGCTCCAAAATGGTGTAACTGAGGGTCCCTCAAAGCCTCCCGAAGCAGCACTCCTTCGGTCACGAACAGCAGCCGCGTCGCTGCGGTGTACGTACACTCGAACCGCACGCTGTACCCCACAACTCCCCCGGGATCCGATCCCACCTCCCGAGACACCCGAGCCGCCAGCGACACTGCAGCAACGCGCCGCGGCTGCGTCACTCCTATCCGCCCCACAATCAGCCCCTCCTGCTGCTGCTGCTGCTGCTGCTGCTGCTGTTGCTGCTTGCGGGGGTG